TTTTAACACTTGCAGCAGTTTTCTTTTAGAGAATTTTGATTTCCTGCACAGTCCCCCCCTTAGACACAATTGGAGTTATTTGCTTTTTCTCCCACAGCTGTCTACTGATCACAAACTTTCGGCTGCATGCTTGTGCTCTCCCTTTATGCTCTGCTGACTCTGTGCAGATAGCCAGTACAGCAAACACCAACAGAGCCCCCAAAGACCACAAAATCAGATAAGGGTCAAAGGCAGGTTTATCATACAATCTTAGAATACTAGAACTGGAAATACCTTGAGATACCATCCAGTCCCGTCCCCTGCCCTCATGGCAGGACCAAGCACAGTCTATATCATCCCTGATAGATGTCTGTCTAAGCTGCTCTTAAATATCTCCAGTTATAGAAATTCCAGAACCTCCCTAGGCAATTTATTCCAGTGTTTAACCATCCTGACGGGAAGTTTTTCTAATGTGGAAACTAAACCTCCCTTGCTGTAATTTCAGCCCATTGCTTCTTGTCCTATCCTCAGAGGTCAAGGTGAACAGTTTTTCTCCCTCCTTTTTGTAACACCCTTTTTACTTTAAACCTGCTATCATGTCCCCTCTCAGTCTTCTCTTTTCTAAACTAAACAAGCCCAATTCTTTCAGTCTTCCCTCATAGGTCATGTTTTCTAGACCTTTCATTATTTTTATTGCTCTTCTCTGGATCTTCTCCAAGTTCTCCACATCTTTCTTGAAACATGGTGCCCAGAACTGGACACAGTACTCCAATTGAGGCCTAATCAGGACAAAGTAGAGCAGAAGATTGATTTCTCATATCTTGCTCACAATAATCCTGTTAATGCATCCCAGAATCACGCTTGCTTTTTTTGCAACAATCTCACACTGTTCTCATATGTAGCTTGTGGTCCACTATGACCCCTAGATCCCTTTCTGCTGAACTCCTTCCTAGACAGTCATTTCCCATTCTGTATGTGTTAAATTGATTGTTCCTTCCTAAGTGGAATACTTTGCATTTGTTCTTATTAAACTTCATCCTATTTACCTCAGGCCATTTCTCCAGTTTGTCCAGATCATTTTGAATTGTGACCCTGCCCTCCAAAGTAGTTGCAACCCCTCCCACCTTGGTATCATCTGCAAACTTAATATGAGTCCTCTCTATGCCATCATCTAAATCGTTGATGAAGATATGGAACAGAAACAATCCCAAAACAGACCCCTGTGGAACCTCAGTTATGCCTTTCCAGCATGACACTGAACTGTCAATAGCTAATCTCTGAGAACAATTATCCAGCCATTTGTGCACCAACCTTACAGTAACTCCACCTAAGCTGTATTTTCCTAGTTTATTGTAAGACCATATCAAATACCTTAGTAAAATCTAGGTATACCACATCCACCGCTTCTCCCTTATCAACAAAACTTGTTATCCTATGAAAGAAAGCTTATCAATGAAGCATGGTCCTACCTTCCCTGGATCAAATGTCTGTACTTAACCTAACACATGTTCCTATTAAAATGGCCTGAGCTCAGACAGTGGTGGGATCGCTAGGCCTGACAGGGACAACCCCCTTAGGTACATTTTTACATATATGTACAAACAAGTAACACATTGGCCCCCTGATACATTAGGAGTACATTCTGGCATTACCTACATACCATCCCTTGTCTTGTACAAGGTGATTTGATCAAAACATGCTGTCTATCATGCTGTCATTTTAGACCCTATCCTGAACCTGGGTCTATATGTTCCTGTTACCTATGAGGAATGTGTTGATACCAGGATGTTTCTTAACAAGGTGTTCTCTTATCATCCTTCTGGATACGAGTGCTTCTGCAATATCCAGCCTGTTCATGCCGAGTTCTGTGAGCAGTTCCTCCCACTTGCTCACAGCTTCTCTTTGCTAATATAAAGCAAAGTCTTGACCATTGTTGCCTAGGCCTCGGGTGTCATAGCAGGCCCGTGGCTTATGTTTTAGGCCCTGATCTTACTACTGATGTTATTTTGACAGTTTGGGATAGTGGGGGAATACTGTGGAAATTTCAGAAGACTCGAAGAGTGTTAATATTGAAAAAGGACAAACGGGATGAGTATAGGATGGTTCTCCTGACATTAATCCTAGGCAAAATAACGGAAGGGCTCCCTTAAGGAACTTATGGGTAGGGTCCCTTCAGGCACTAACACAAAGAGAAAGGATTCCAGAAGAGTTCCCTGTATTGCAAAGGAGCCTTATTGAAGGCACAGGAACAAACCATCCTGATGTGAAGTAAGAAAAGCAAATATGGTAGACCACTAGCTTGGCTTAACAGTGACATCTTTGGCAAGTTTAAACACAAAAACTTAAAAGCTGGTTCCCCCCAGCACTGTCTCCACAGTCCAGTGGAGGCTAAAGAGCAAAGTAGGACTGCAAATCCCAGCTCACACCAGGTCCTGGAACTACCCCACTGCAGCTCTACCTTTTAAATGTAGTAAGAGCCACAGTAGGGTAGGTCTAGGACCCGGTGCAAGCTGGGGCTCAGCAGTCCTGGCTTGCACCAGGTCTGGGACCTACCCCTGTAGCAGCTCTGCAGTTTAAATGTAGTAGGATCCAGGCTGCCTCTATGCCAAGCTTCTTCTACATTTCAGTTGCAGAGCCGTGCAACAGGGCCCCTTGTGTACTCGATTGTGTACTCAATTCAAATTGTATTCAGTACAGGATTAGTCAGTTACCTGCATCTTAACATCCTTAAATGACACACAGATTGGTAGAGTGGTAAATAATGATCACAGGGCAGCCAGAGCAATCAGAATCTCTTTGTAACCTAGACCCATTCAAATAAAACATGCTTTAATACAGCCAAATGCAAGTTATACATCTAGAAAAAGAAAACATGATCTGTACCATCAGAGTGGAGGACTATAACCAGGAAAGCACAGTGATTTTGAAAAGGAGTTGTAGTGGACAAGCAACACATCATGAGCAATGCTGTGGCAAAAAAGGGCTAATATGCTCCTTGTATATCTAAAGAGCAGAGTAGGGAGGTGCTATTACCTCTGAATATAGCAGTGTTGGAGAAAATGTCTTACAATGAGAAATTTAGAGCTTAGTCTACTAGTTGAGCAAAAAGAAGAGCGAGTGACTTAATTAGTATACACACAAGTATGCTTGCTAGTAAAATATACCAGATGCTAAGTGGCTTTTAATCTAATTTAGAAGGCATAATAGGAAGTAATCCCCAACAAGGTGAAGCCAGACAAATGCAAATTAGGTGGACTGTTTTAACAGTAAGTATGATTTCCCCACTGGAACAAACTACCAAGGAAAGTGCTGAATTCTTCATCTTTTAGCACTGTCAGATCCAGACTGGATGCTTTTTTGATATCTATGCTTCAGACAAACTCAATTTTGGGGAATTAATGCAGGCATATCTGGTTGAAATTTAATGGTCTATAATATTCAGGTCAGACTTGATCTAACAACCTCTTCTGGCTTTAAACTGTATGAACCTCTAACCTTTTCTATGTCAGCAAAACTACATTTCCTGGAGATCATTGTAAGGGGAGGGTAACTTCTCCAACTGAAGGTGCAGGGGAATTTTTATGATCACTGACAATCTTGTGAAGAGTCATGGAATCTTTAGTATCAGGTGATCCAAAATGGGTTGTATAGAAAAAAACTGCACTCAAGCAGCAAATTTTTGCTAGCATTGTGCTGGTTTTGGATTGTTTGAAGGAAAGAGGGACAATTGCAGTACCCCCAGTGCATTTTCCTTGGTCTGTGACTAAATATTGAGCAGGCCTGATCTTGTTTAATTTGACAAGATCCAAGCAAAATAGTACACCCCCAGACTGGATAGGAATATTACAGGAATGTGCAGGCCTTGTGTCCTGAGCAAAGCAATCACTACTTTCACATTGGTTATGTAATTTACTGGTGCTGCCCTTGAGGAATGTTAGTGCTGTACAGATGAAAGGAAGGCAGTATGGCTTATTTGTAGAATTGCTCTATGCTAAAGAGAGCACACCAACTAATGAAAACAGTAACTACTGGAGACCCTGCCACACTCTCACAAGAGCCATGTGATAACCTGTATTGCATATGTAGCTAATATGAATGAAATTGACTCAGCTTCAGTATGAAAACTATGAAATATCTTATTACTGCACTGTGGTGATGACCTTGTTTCTTTTGCACTTTCATGAAATCTCTTGGATGTACAAACATACAGAGGCTACATCAGCCTGTTAAGGCTATGTCTACATTGCTCATTCTTGCGTAAGAAGATACGCAAATGAGGCATGGCGATGAATATTGCTGTACCTCATTTGCATACCTAATGAGCCGCCATTTTGAGCAAGGGGCTTTTGCCCCTTCTTGCGCTGCTCCTTCTTATCCTGAAAATAAATGGCAGAACGGCTCTTGCACAAGAGGGGGTTTTTGCACAAGAAGGAGCAGTGTCGATTGCTTCTTTTTGTGCAAAATCTCCTTGCGCAAAAATGGAGGCTCATTAGGTATGTAAATGAGGTGCGGTGATAAATATCTTCATTTGTGCAAAAATATGCGATGTAGACGTAGCCTAAGTGTCCCTGTGAGTCACTACAAAAATCTGCATCTGTGATTCCTTTAGAAAAATAATTTTAAACTAGTTTTACAGATGGCCAGGATGATTGCTTAATAATTGAAGCAGTGAAGAAGTTTTGGTTTAGAGCTCCTGAATGAGCCCAGGAAGAAAATATTTTCTTCTTTGAGGAACATCTTAGAAGAGTAGCCTTAGGATGTCTTGAGCAACATTTCTTGACCTGTCATTCATGCAAATAATTTGTTCTTTATAAGGTCTAAGCAACTGTTGGAATTGTATCTACAGTATTTAAAACATCCAGACTGGTTTCTACTTGTGATAATATATTTCCAGTAAGCTCTGTAATCTTTTAAGTAAGCAAAGTAGGCTCCTCACTCGTTTAATCATTATAAGCAGAAATAATTGGTATTCCAGTGTACAATATTGTGATCAGTTACAAACTCTATTTTAACTTTTGTAGGTGACAATAACAGAATTCCTGTCATCAGTTCACTTAAGATCCGAGACCAGCAAAGATCTGCAGTTTCAACCAATTGGATGCTCCCCTACAATTACACGTGGCCTGCAGATAAGATCTTTGTAAGCACACCCACAGCTAACTACACCCTCCAGGATTACCAGAAGTTCTACAAGGACATCAACTTTGAGGATGGCTGGCTCATGAGACAAGACACTGAGCCCTTAGTCTACCAGATGACACCACCTGGTGTGCGTATGCACTGTCTCTTTGGCACTGGCGTAGAAACACCTGACTCATTCTACTATGAGGCCTTTCCTGATAAAGAGCCCAAGATCTATTACAGTGATGGGGATGGTACAGTGAATTTGCAGAGTGCCTTACAATGTCAGAAGTGGGTGAACATGCAAAAACAGGACGTGATGTTGTTGGAGCTATCAGGAAATGAGCATATTGAAATGCTGTCCAATGCTACAACTATTTCCTATGTGAAAAAACTTCTTTTTGATTTGTGACATCCTATGTGGACAGTTTTTCTCCATCACCTGTGATGCCTTCCCTTGAGAGGGGGAAATGCCTTTTGATCCTTAGGTTTTAAAACACTTGGATTATTTATTCGGTCTTCTCTCAGGCCATATTCAGAAAGCTGTTCGGTGTCTTTAATGATCACTTAGTGTTCATAATGAATCATAGTGTTTCATATTCTAAACGCTTGGTCATATGTGCATTCTGGTGCTGCTAGACAAAATGTCCAGTGTTCATATCGAAGTTCACTTGAACATTTTTCAAATCCTTAGTGCAAAATATGCATCTTATACTGTTTCTTGTGATCTTTGCAGAGGTTGGGGGAGGGAAAGAATTGCTTACTGGTTACTGTCAGTTGTGCATTAAAGCAAGGGAGTGGTGGTAGGAAGGATTTTTTTATATAGTAACTTTCCCAAAGGATCACAAGTTCTGAATTGTCCACAAATAAGCTAGTAAACATGAACCTCCTAATAAGTGTTATAAATAGACATGGAGTTAAGATATTGCAGGACTTTGGTCACATCCAACCTGTTACTTCATATGTACTGCTGCTGGAGAAGAGGGAAATTACTTGAAGTTCCTTATTTAATGTCTTGGAAAAACTGAAAAACAATCCAATTGCCCTTAATTCTAGTAAATTGATGACTTAGCACCAAGAGTCTAAGGCTTCTGGCTTCATGATTTAAGCTTTTTTTTCTCAACTATAAAAAGTTAGGTGTCATTTCTCACCTAAGAGCCTGGTGTCATTGAAATCTACAGAAACTTGATAGCAAATTTTGTGAGAAGCTGGCTTCACATGTCAAAGTGATAGGTATCTCCTTTATTTCAAACAGTAGATAGATTGTGATCTCAAACAAAGCTAAACTCCACCCAAAACAAATAAAAATTAAAGTTCCCACAATGGATGAGGGAGGGGAAACCTTTTTAATGCATCTTGCTTTTAGTCAAATATACTTCTACTGTGATAGTCAGTTTCCTACTAACTGACCATCTTTCCAATTGGATCAAATTTTTTGTTTGAAAAAGCTTAGAATTATAAGATAGACCTTTCCCACAGGATAATGAATTTGTACTTCATTTGGGTTGAGAAACAAATATTTGACAGATGTACTATGTATTAGGTCCCAGAAAATTATATAGCATGCAACTCTCCATGAAGCACTATTACAGTTGCTTAACCATCTCAGACCATTTTTCAGAAAACTGTTATGTACACTTCCAGGATACAGGTTTCTTCTGAAAAAGTTACTTTGAGGTATGCTCATAAGAAATCTTACAGAATTAGGAAATTGTGGTTATTTACAAGGTAAAGTTTAACCATTCCTGTAGTGCATGGAGGTTGTTTGCTGCCATTGAAATCTTTGACAGCTCTCAGGAGTATTTGCCACTGCAGAATGTAAGCACTGTGGAACAGGATGGACTAGATTAGAATTCTCAAGTCTCTAATGTATTTTGTATTAGCTAATCACGTCTAGAAATCCTGACTGGGATCGTTGGTAGGCCAATTGTCTCCCTGTACAAAAGAGAAATTAAGACTAATTCCCTGTCTCTAAGGGAGGATAAGCATTCCCCAGTAGAATGAAAGGTCTGTCACTTGGAATCAGCTATCTAAGATCTAGTGCTCAGCAGTTCTATGGCCCAAACAGGCTTTCGTGACTCATCTGTGTGCTAGTCCACTGCCAGATCTGAATTGCTCACTGACTATCTGTAACATGGAGTTGATAGCTTAAATCTCAACAGAAGGATATGAAGTCCTTTAGTCAACTTTATTTTGCAGACTTCTGCAGACTGTTGTATTCTAGAACCACAGTTCTAGTCTAAGGATCTTCCTATGGTCTAACTCCATTGTGAACAAACTACTATAAGTCTGAGTCTGCAGTAGATGCAACTGTTCAAAGTAACTGATTCAAAAGTTCAGCGTTTTTAAAGTTCACAATACTTGCCCAAGTAGAATGTATGCTTGTTAACTAGCACCAGGATGGGAGGAACCTGAATCTGTATTGGCTCCCTCCAAAAACTGAAGAACGTTGGTGTGGTTCTAACAGAGTTTCGGGATCTAACTGGGATGGAGGGTTCTTTTAGAAATGGTTACTTATAAAGCTGTCTGACTGTGCTAAATGTGCAAAATAATTAAAAACTTATAGGAAGAGTGTTTTGGCTTTGGTACCCTCTACACCTGAAGAAGCAGAAAAATTGATGCCTCCAAAAGAGCTACTCTAGATTATTCTGTTCTGATTTAGCATTTGATATTTACAGTATTTTCACCCTTTGAGAAATATATCACTTTGTGTTTCCAGCTGACTTCATTTCATACTCTACCGTAATGACAATGGCCCGTTAGTCCACATTCACTTAGCTTTCCATCAGTCACTTCTCATGCTGAATAATCTGCTCTGCTGCTTTTACTTGCACTGGTAAAGTGGAGTTGGCAGCCCTCAAGCTTTGTAGATTTGCTGTGATTTGTCAGCATAAATCCTTGTTTCGTTTCTGAGCAGAATTGCCATCTCTAATGTTAGCTACTGATTCCTCAGTGTTTATACTTTAAGAATCCATGCATCTAATGATTACCTTCGATTTGGGGATGTTTTGTATGACAGATCATGTATCCGATTTCTCATTTTTCCATCAAATCCTCCAGAGCCCTTCTTTTGTCTACTCTTTGATCCCAGGATAGAGATGTCCTCAGTATGAAATAGGGTAGTTCAATATAGTGGTGTGCACCCCAAAAGATGGAAAGAGTTCAATTGTGCATTTCCCTTTTCTACTACAGGTTGGACCTCCAAAAACTGGGACTCCCTTGTCTGGCAACATCCATGGTCCTACAGGTCCTGCATGTTCCTGGACCAGGGAGTCCGGGCTGCGAGCCTCATTGGTAAGAGGGCTGGCAGCTTAGAGCCCAGCTGGAGTTGGAGCCTCGATAGCAGGGCCAGGCATGTGGCAGCCCTTGTAGTGGGGCTGGGGATGCAGCAGCCACAGTAGAGGGGCTGAGGACATGGCAGCCCAGTGGGAAGAAGGGGCGGCTAGGGCCAGCAGGGAGGGGCCAGTAGCAGGGGACCTCCCCTTGTGTAGCAAATTCCCTCATTTGGAACCAGTAGGTTCTTGATAGTGCCAGACCAGAGAGGTTCAACCTGTAGAAGTCTGTTTGCTTTATTGCATTTATTAGAGGGCAAACCCAAGTCTATTTAGTATCACTTTAGTAGGATTGTTTGCAGTGTTTCTGTAGCCATGTTGGTTCCAGGATATTAGACAAGATGGGTGATATGTAATATCTCTTAATGGACCAACTTCCGTTAGTGAAAGATAAGCTTTCAAGTTTACACAGAGCTGTTTGAGGTAACTGTAAGACTGTTTAAGTATGCAGTCTTAAGTAGTCTACAGTCTTGTGGGGAAACTAGTCTGAGGAAATATTAATCATTGCTAGAAAGAGGAAAATTAATAAAGTACCTCAGGTGCTTTGCTTCTTCACTGGTTTGAATTGTGTGATTTTGGTGAAATCCCTTCTGATTTATCCTAATTACTTACATTTATGAATGTTTATTTTTGCCTAATGTTCATTTTCAGGATATTTTCAGAAACCAAAAATAGAGGACCAAAATATATTTTTTATTTCTAACAAAATGTTGAGAGAATGCTGGAGGGACTTCAGCTGTTACTATGGTAGGTTCAAGGTCACTATGTGATTCTGCTCAGACCAGAAGATTTTAATATCAAGCAATAATTGCAGAGGAGTTGTAGGCCAAAGAAAAGAATATTTGGTATATTCAAGGCCCTCTTAATTCAGGGAATATTTGGCAGTTACTTTGCTGCTGTAAATTTAACAGTATTTTGTATGAAACATTATCTTGTGAGATCCAGCATTTTATATATTTTCCTCTTTGTGAATGAATGACTCAGTTAAATAGATTTTGCATATTGTCAAACTTTGATAACATAATAAACTTTATCTAACGTTGAATGCCTTTTGTGATAACACTACAGATGCTGTTCTGTCTCTGAAACATGCTGTTCTGCCTCTCAAATATGCTACAATTTACTCATGCTTATGGCTGTTTAAAAGGCAGCATTTTAACCAAATTATGAGTTGAACCAGAAAGCAGCATTACTTTCTTCCATTGTAATTTGCTTTAGAAGGGAAACTAAAAATACATATACTGTCCTCTTTCTGCTCTAATGTAAATGCTCACTTCAAACCAATTAGTATAAATTGCTCCAATTTGGAGACTCAAGATGAGCAGAAGCCTTCATCCTTGGTTTCTAACCTGTACCTCCTAGGCAGGTCTCATGTCTAGGTAGCTTTTCTTCAAAGATGTTGATGTCTAGTCCTATTAGGCCAGTCGTTACTAGTGACCCAAAAATGGTGGGGGTGCAGTTGCTGGAATCCTTCACCTATTACCCTTCTGCTTTCCTACATGTAGTTTGATAAGATAGTTGTGGGAGGGATTGGGGAAGAGGCTGCAGGAGTGGCTTTCTTGGGCAGATCAGAGAGGTGGTTAGAAAGGAGAGAGAAAATGGGGTTTCCCCCCTCTCCTTTTAAAAACGTCAAAGAAGGGTAGAGTGGGAGAACACTATTTACCTCAGTATTCCCTTTACTGTGTTTAGTCACTTCAGTTTCTATTCCTATAGACTCAGGTTTTTAATGTCCTTTATTTTAATTCTACTTTACAATTGCTCTGTTCTTTCTATAGGACTTTGATTTTCTCTTATTCATTCTGTATACTGTCATTTGTTTTTCCTAACTTTTTCCTCCAAATTGCACCTGCTTTTTATCCTCCAACTTCAGCTGTTCACCCTCTATTTTCATTTAAGTCATACTTCCATTTAGTTCTCATCCTGATGGAGCAGGTTTCTTAATGCCATAAATGACTACTACTTAGAACAGCTAGTCCTGCAATCCACAAGATTATTGATTTTTAGTCCTAAGTAGAGCACAGGATCTGGTCCAAGAGGTGAATATAGTTAAACTGCTTGGTAATAGCGACCATGCTATAATTAAACTTAACATTATTTGGGGAGAGTGAGGAAGAAGCGATCAAAAAAGCCTACCACAGTAGCCTTGAATTTCATAAAGAGGAACTATACAAAAATGAAGAAGCTGACTAAATGGAAATTAAAAAGTATAGTACCAAAAATGAAAGCTGCATGGAAACTTTAAAAAAAAAAAAAAAAAAAAAAAGACTCAAATTAAATATATACCCCAAATTAAAAAGTAGTAAGGGAACCAAAAAAAGTACCACCATGGCTAAAAAACAAATTAGAATAAGCAGTTAGTGGCAAAAAGCCATCCTTTAAAAACTGAAAGATATGGAAATAGAGATGTAGCCATGTTAGTCTGGTCTTGCTGAAACAAGAGACAGGACTATGCAGCACTTTAAAAACTAACAGGATGGTTTATTAGGTGATGAGCTTTTGTGGGCCAGACCCACTTCTTCAGATCAAATTGTGGAAGAAAATTGGCATGACCATATATACCAAAGGGATACAATCAAAAAAAGTGAACACCCATAAAATTGACAAATCAGACTTTAGAACAGAGGGAGGGGCGAGGGGGGAGCTTAGTGTCTATGAGATAATGATATTAGGGGTGATAATTGGGGAAGCTATCTTTGTAATAGGTAAGATAATTAGCATCTTTGTTAAGGGCCATTCCGCATGCTTAAATTGGACACTTGACCAACTCCCTCAGTACCCTCGGATGTATTAAGTCCAGACCCATGGATTTATGTACATTTAGCTTTTCTAAATAGTTCCTAACCTGTTTTTCCCCATCAAGGGCTGTCTACCTTCGTCCCATATTGTGTAACTTAGCGCATTAGTCTGGGAACTGACCACGTCTATGAAGACAGAGGCAAAGAAAGCATTGAATACTTAAGCTTTCCCCACATCATCTGTCACTAGGTTACTGCCCTCATCCAGTAGGGCCCCACACCTTCTCTGATCACCTCCTTCTTGCTAACATGCCTGTAGAAACCTTTCTTGTTATCTTTCACATCCCTAAGTCAAATCCTATTAAGGAAAATACAAAAGTGGATAAACTCTGGCACATCTAGGCAGGCCAATAAAAAATTGGAAGAGCAATTAGCAAAAGACTTAAAATTAACATAAAAATATTTAAGTACATCAGAAGCAGGAAGTCTTTCAAACAATTGAGTGTCCCAGGATGATCAAGGTGCTGAAAAAGCACTCAAGGGAAGATGAGGCCATTGTGGAGAAGGTAAATGAATTCTTTGCATCAGTCTTCACTGCTGAAGATGTGAGGAGATTCCCACATGGGAGACCTGTTCCAGATTGAGGTGTCATTAAAGTACTTCTGCTGCTGTTATATATCTCTTGGTTTCTGTTATTTCCACCCCAGTTCATCTGACAAAGTGGGCTTTGCACATAAAAACTTATGATTTTTTGGTATTTTGGTTAGTCTCTAAGGTGCCACAGAACCACTTGTTGCTTTTAAAGTTACAGAATAACATGGCTACCCCTCTTGAGATTTGGAATAAACTGATAAAGTAGTATGTCACCAGGACCAGATGGCACTCACCCCAGAGTTCTGAAGGACCACAAATATAAAATTGCAGAACCACTAACTGTGGCATGTAACCGATCATATAAATCTGCTTCTGTTTCAGAGGGTAGCTTATGTGACTCCAGTTATTTTTAAAAAGGCTCCAGAGATGATCCAGGAAATTACAAGCTGTTAAATCTGACTTCAGTACCAGGGAAATTGGTTGAAACTGTATTAAAGAACAAAATTATCAGACAAGAGTCAGCACAGCTTTTGTAAGGGGAAATCATGTCTGATCAATCTATTAGAATTCTTTAAGGGGGTCAACAAACATGTGGACAGGGGCAATCTAGTGGACATAGTGTAATTAGATTTTCAGAAGCCTTTGACAAGGTCCCTAAACAAATGTTTTTAAGCAAGGCAAGTTATAAGCATGGTTTATAAGGGAAGATCCTTTCTTGGTTCAGTAGCAGTTTAAAAAGACAGGAAATAAATGACAGAAATAAATTGTCAGTTACCAGAATGGCAAGAGTTTAAAACAGTGGTGTCCTCAGGGGTTTTGAACTATGCCCAGTGTTGTTCAACATATTCATAAAGGGCCTGGAAAAGGTGGTAAACATTGAAGTAATAAAATTTGCGAACTACACAGTAATTCAAGATAGATAAGGCCAAAGCTGATTGTGAAGAGTTACAAAGGGCTCTAAAAATTGGGTGACTGGGCAACAAAATGTCAGATGAAATGTAATGTTGATAAATGTAAAGTAATGCACACTGGAAGACAAAATCCCAATATACATACAAAATGAAGGGATCTAAATTGGATCCCTTGGAATCGCTGTAGATCGTTCTTTCAAACATCAGTATGCAGCAGCAGTTAAAAACCTAACAATGCTGGGAACTATGAGGAAAGAGATAGTTGGTATGACAAAGTAACATCATGCCTGTACATACATCCACCGTATGCCCATGTTGTGGATAGTGTGAGCAGGTCTGGTCACCCCATCTCAAAAAGATACTAGAATTGGAAAGGATACAGAGAAGAGCAACAACAATTATGAGGATTGTGGAACATCTTCCATATGAGGAGAGATTAAATAGATTGGGTCTTGTCAGTTTCAGAATGAGATGACTGAGGGGTATGAAAGAGGCCTATAAAACCATGACTGATGTGGAGAAAGTGAATAAGGAAATGATATTTACATCCTTCACATCTTCCAAGAACAAGGAGTCACCCAATTAAATTAATAGGCATCAGATTTAAATCAAAAGTACTTCTTTATACAGCATGCATCAGACATGTGGAATTCATGGGCAGTGGATGTTGTAAAGGCCAAAACTACACCAAAGTTCAAAAAATAACTAGGGTCATAGAGGACAGTTCCATCAATGGCTGTTAGATAGGATGGGCGGTAATGGAAAAACCTGGTCCGAAGCGTCCTGGCTTTGTCCCTGAGCGAGGCAGACGGGCTGTGTCCCCACCCCCAGGCCAACCTCTTTCTCAGACAGAGCACCGGAAGCGCCACACGGAGATCATTACAGCTGCTTGGTGATTCCCAAGCAAAGGCCAATCCTATTTCCGTGTCCTCACTGATTTGACAAACAGCAGCGGGGATAGATCAAAAAAAAAAAAAAAAAAAAAAAAAGAAAGAAAGGGGCTCACTTTTTCGAAAGTACTGGTTGTAGTCTGGACGCTCTTTTTTGAAAGAGGCTTGTAGTCCAGACGTAGCCTAGCTTGTTTACTGGAAGAAGAGAATAGGCAACAAGGGATGGATTGCTGCAAGAAGTAGTGCAGGGTCTGGGAGGGCATATGGGTGCAGGAGAGGATTCTGACCTCAAAGAGAGATGTAGAAGGGGTGCAGGGTCTAGGAGGGAGTTATGTTCTGGGGCAGCAGTACAGGAGGATGTGCAGGGGTTTGGGTTGTGATATAGGGCAGGAGGAGTTTGTGACTTGGGGCAGGAGATTGGGATCCAGGGTCTTGGAGCGAGTATGGGTGCAGGAGTGGGGGTGCGGAGGGAAAGAAGGGCTGTCAGGTACAGGGTCTGGCCAGGAGAGTGGGCTCCCTGCCCTCCACACCCTCACAGGCCTCTTAAAGTGGCTGGCTGTGGTACTGTGTGCATCTCCATGTGCCATGAGACCCCCATTGAGGGAGGGGAGGAGTTCTGTGTGCTGCCTGAGCCACAATCACAGCCCAGGCAGCTCCCATTGGCTGGAAATCAGCACAGCAGGAGGGAGTCTCCATTTGGGCTGCTGGATGGTGGTTGGTCAAATCCAAGCAGAAAAGATTTTGGGGGAGTGAGGATGGAGATTCCAAATAGAAGTGATGCTTCTAATTCTAAGGCAAAAATAAATTAAGCAGCCGTATCTCAATATGCAAATGCCCCTTTCTGATGCTCTTCCAAGAGCATATACTAAACAGTAACACTAGAACTACATTACACTGTAAGCTTGGGCAGGACTG